CCCCCAGTTCTGCACCAGGCAAAAAGGCGCCCTGGCAGGATCAAAAGGTCCGACAGCGCTTGAAAGTGCCTGAAAATCTGCCGACCCTGCGGTGCATACAGTCCGGCGTCCGAGGTCGGGCGTCGACTCGACCCTGAGGTTCTGAGGTTCGTGTCCTCGGCACAACGTCCTCCCAAAAGTCGGACCCGTGTAATTTGGACCTTTCAGAGCGAGAAAACCCAGCTGGGACCCACACTCGGCCGCCGGCCACGCTCGGCCACGCTTGGCCGATAGCTCCGCTCCGCACGGTGAACTCCGTCGGTCTTGTTTGTTCGGACGAAAGCCGGCCGAAGAGACGGGCGGAGGTTCTGCGAGGTGGAAGCAAAACGCGGAAAGAAGGCAACAAGGAAAGAGTTTCCCCCCAATAAGAACGAGGTCTTTTGGGGCGATTTGTCCCAGGTTTCTGAAAAAGACATTTGGAATGGCCGGCCTACCAGTGCCTGCTGCCTACCGAGAAAAAAAGACACAAAAACTCGTGGGTTCTTGGTGAGACATTTTTGATGTCAACATGAAGTGAAGACCTGATCAACAGTGTTCTTCGGCCAACTGATTCGCACAATCCCAAAAAACCAGGACGGTACACCAAAAGTCCGTCCGGATGGCAAGGCGGTCGCGGATCTTGGATCCGGCAACCAAAAACAGCGAATGGCTGCCGGGTGCTGACGAAGCTGCCGAATGGCTGTGGGTGCGCCGTAAAGCTGTGCCATCAAAAACCCTGCAGGAAAGTGACATATGATAAATTCGTGGATGCTGGATCTTGTTGAGCCATACCCAGAGATTAAAATATCTAGTTATAGATATCAACACATGATGTGCCAGCACGATATGTGCATACACAGGCACATAATGAGTAAGCACAACTACAAAAGAATATGCGATGTGGACAAAGCCGGACAAAAGTTCCGGAATTACACACTAAGACACAGAGATGAGCAAATAATCCTGAATCATTACAAATCATTTTGATAGGAGGTGAGCGTCAGGACCCTAGACAGCCGACTCCAGCCTGTCGCCTGTGGCGCGCTCCTCTCACGAGAGAGGATCCAAGCATCCGCTTTTAAGCGACAGTATTAAGCCAAAAGCCTGTACAAATCCGGCTTGGTCTCAGGACATGTGAAAAGCCAGAAGTTGTCAGGGTTGAGACATCTGTCTCATTCGCCAGAAGACCGGCGAAATTGATTCACACATATCATACACCTCCAAAAAAGAATTGTGTGGTTCTTTCTTCCAAGGCCGTCTAATACCCAACCCTGGCAACATAGGCTAAAACGTGTGATTCCCAGTGACGGCGTTCGCGCCACTTCAAATTGGAAAGAGGCAGAGGCAGCGGCAGCTTTGCCAGAACTAGATGTCTGAGGAAGGCCTCGAGCGGACAGTGTGCAAATTTTGTGTCTAGGTGGTATCACAAACTTGTTTGACAATACCCAAATCTGGTGTGCAATCCACAGACGTCCAAAAGAAACCTTCCACTTTCTACAGATTTGCTACCGTAGTCATTACTAGTCACCAGTCTTAGCATGGTTCCTTGGCTTCGAGGTCCAATCCCAACAAGGTCCAAGCCCAACAACCCCCAACGTTGCCAGGCCTCTTCCGTACTTTAGCTTTCCGCAACCTCGCTGACCTCCATGGCACTCCTTCAAGTGCACCTGGATGCACCTGGTGCCATGGACGGACGGAGTCTCCAAATGAGAGCTCTAAGAGCTCTGAGAGTCTGGGACCTTGGCTTTTGGGAGGTGCAACCCCCTTCGTGCCCCGAAACGGTGACCAAGTACAAGTCTGAACAGCAACTTTCACTTGAGATCTGCTTCCAACCAATTTCTTGGACGGCACAGACATGGCACGGACACTGCGTGTTCCCCTAACGAAGCTCCAAGGAAACAGCGATGGCCTCCAACCTACTATATGATGAGAATTACATAAGATATATCATAATGATAAAAGGATTGAAGAACGAGAGTGAGATAGAGCTTGACTACCTAAAGAGACTACTACCCATCTGCTCATCAGCCATAAATAAGACATAGACTTGACTACATCGCTTTCGACCAGAACGTCTTGAGGATTCGAGGACGTTTGGGGTCCTTTAGACCCCACGACACGGAGCCGCTCCGTTCCAAAGCGAAAACCGAACCGAGCTCCGAACTCCGAACTCCACCACGGAGCCACCGAAAGGGGTGGAAAGCGGTTGGGGTGAGATGCCTGCAGATGCAGGATCGAATGAATCTTGTCCTGCTTTTTGCAGATGCAGCACAGAGGTGCCATGCACGGTCCTACCTTGTCTCTTCTCTCTCTTTGAAGTCCCGGACTGTACTCACATCAGCTCACACCTCGCACTCGAAGGGGAATTTCCATTTACACTCTCTCACTCACTAATTTAAGTCAACCGGTCACGAAGCTCACCCATGGCCGACCTCCTCTTCCCGGACCCTCCTCGATCGCGCAGCCGACCCATGGGAGCCGACCCACGGGAGCCGACCGCCTCACTTCAGCTCCATGGCCAGGGTGCGGAAGCGCGCGGCGGCGCTGGGGGACATGCCCAGCTTCCTGAGGGCGCGAGGGGCGAGGCTAAGGCGAAGGCGCTGACGCTGGGAGAGGGTTGGTTGGGATCAGCCCTGCGAAAACAGGAAGGAACCCAAGAAGCCCTGCGAGGTGTTCCACTGAGTTTACATGATTCATTTTGGCGGTATCTTTTTGGAAGATCATATTGTGAGCGTGTCTGTTAGAGTCTCAAGATTCTTGAGGTCTTGCAATCACAAATGTCAAGTGAGTTCCCGAGTTCATAACCATGCAGTACTCTGTTCAGTACGATCAGTCTCCCCTGCTTCTCTTTTAGCTTGCGGTTTGGCCGCGATGGGGTTCATCGGAAAGGTACACTGTACTTGCAAGCTTGGCGTGTGAGTACCTCGACCCTTTGGCTTCTTCCAACGCCACCAGACGGAAGCTCTCGCAAACCACGGCCGCTCAAAACACGGACGGGTCGGGTCGGACGTCACGCCAAGCATCATGTTGACGGAGTCCATCAATTGCACCACCTTGATTTAAGAAAAGGGGAAGGAAGATCTTGAAGAGGTTGAAGCCACTTTGATTCTTGCAAAAATGCTTTAGGCATCTTTTGGCATCTTTAAACTTATAGCTTACGTCATGCTGGCTTCGTCAGCTCGATTGACGCTCTGCCTTCGCCAGGTTTCATGGTCAACGCACCCAACGGGGCTCCCCCACCTCCTCGTCCTCCAAAAAGCATGCGCAACGGGCGATCATCTGCTGGACACCCTGCCGTGAGCCTGGCAGGCCAAAGCCTGGGCGGACACGAATCCATGGCAACTACAACAGACCACAAGTAGATTCTTAATTCTCTTTCAACTACCCCATAGGAAGAGGTCTTTACAATCCAAGGAGAGCTTTTATTAACCAAGATTCTACAGGACCACTTATTGGCGTGATGTACTTTCAAAGGATTCGAGAATGTGATAATGTCGCTCAAGCGATAGGAAAAAGCACGATCAAAAGCTGGACAGTCGAAAGGCCAGTCGTGTACTACTTGCTCCAATTCCGATTTCGGAAGACATACTACAAAGCTCAAATCCCACAAGCTGATGAAATTCCCAGCAAAGTAAGTCTCGTTCATGCTTGCCCAAGGTTGCATCAGGGCTACTTACCTTGTGCCTCCAGCCCTTCCGGCCCTGAACATCACCATCTTCACCAACTTGACCGAACACCTTCAACCAACTGGCTCGCGATCCACAAAAAAAAGGGGAACGCGAGCCGCTCGCAGCAGAAGATATCTCACGCCCCCGATCGCCGCTTCGCCGAGCGCCCCCGATCGCCGCTCGTCTCGCTCTCAATCGCAAGCGGCAGGGCAAGAGTTGTTCTTGCACCGGGAAGGCCAGCGCTGCGCGCCCTGGAAGCTGATAGTAGCCCTGGTCGCGGCACGGATGGGGCGAAGCGTCGGCGGTCTGCTGGAGCTTTTCGATGGCCTCTTGGAAGTCGGGTTCGCTGAAGCTCCTCGATGGGTGGCGTCAACGAGAACGACGATGGGGGCGATGGACTCCAGCAATCCCCGCCAAAAAAGAGAGGGTTTTAGTTTTTGGACTGGGGAGCGTGTTGGTTGGGCAAATTTGGTGCGAACTCATCCTTTTCTTAAACATGCTGTAACATGCGGTAGAAATATGTGTGAGTGTTCAGTCAGTCCTCAGCAAGCTCTTCAAAAGCCTCTTGACACTCTGCTTGCTGAGCGGAGTGCTGGAGCCACGATCCACAGGCGTAGGCCGTTCCTCCACTTCGGCAGGAAGCACCTGAGACAGGCCCAAAGACTCCTCGATGGCCATCCGGTTGACGTAGACCTCTGCATCTGTCCTAAGAGGGGTGCTAATTGTATGGGAAGCTTC